GCCCGGGGTGAGGCGGCTCCGCCGGGGCCTGGCCGGGCTCGGCGCGGGTTGGGCACCGCGGGAAGAGGAAGAGGAGGAGGAGGAGGAGGAAGGCGGCGGCCCCCGGCATGGCGGCGCTGGGCGGCCCCGGCTCGCGGCCGGACCCGGTGGAGACGCTGCAGGAGGAGGCGATCTGCGCCATCTGCCTCGACTACTTCGCCGACCCGGTGTCCATCGGCTGCGGGCACAACTTCTGCCGCGGCTGCATCTCCCGGCTCTGGGCCCGCGGCGGCGCCGAGCCCGGCCCGGGCGGCTCCGGCGGCGGCGCCGAGCTGGGCGAGGAGGAGGAGGAGGAGGAGGAGGAGGAAGACGAGGACGAGCTGGAGGAGGAGGACGAGCTGGACGTGGAGCAGGAGGAGGAGGAGGAGGAGGAGGAGGGCGGCGTGGGCGAGGAGGAGGACGACGACATGTGGGAGGAGGAGGAGGAGGAGGAGGAGGAGGAAGGCGAGCTGTGGGGAGACCCCGCTGAGGACGAGGAGGAGGAGGAAGAGGAGGAGGAGGAAGAACCCGCGGTGTGGGCCGGGGGCGCCGCGCCGGGCGGGGGGCTTTACTTCGACGACGAGGACGTGATGGAGGAAGACGTGGAGGAGGAGGAGGAGGAGGATGAAGATGATGAGGAGGAAGAGGAGGAGGAGGAAGGGCGGCGGCGCGCCGTCTTCACGTGCCCGCAGTGCCGCAAGTCCTTCCTGCAGCGCTCCTTCCGCCCCAACCTGCAGCTGGCCAACATGGTGCAGATCATCCGCCAGCTGCACCCGCGCCCCCAGCGCCCCCCGGGGACCCCCGCGACGCCCCCCGGCAGCGGCAGCGCCCCCGGGGGCCCCCCCGAGCTGTGCGAGAAGCACCAGGAGCCGCTGAAGCTCTTCTGCGAGGTGGACGAGGCGGCCATCTGCGTGGTGTGCCGCGAGGCGCGCGGGCACAAGCAGCACAGCGTGGTGCCGCTGGACGAGGCGGTGCAGGACTGCAAGGTGCGGGACTGGGGGGGTTTGGGGGGAAATTTGGGAATAATTTGAATTTTCCCCCCCTCCCGTCCAGTTTGAGGGGAAAAAATACGAAATAACCCATTTATTTCATTGTTAAATCGGAGTCTGAGCTCGAATTCATGATTTCAGTATTCAATAATTTGGGTTTTAATTGTTAAATCAAAGTTTGAGCTCGAATTCATTATTTCAGTACTCAATAATTTGAATTTTTCCCCCATCACATCCAGTTTGAGGGGAAAAAACACAAAATAATCAATTTATTTAATTACTAAATCAGAGTTTGAGCTCTAATTTAACGATTTTAATACTCAATAATTTGAATTT